AAAAAAAGAGAAGGGATTAAATGTTCCAGTATGGCAACATCAGAAAATCCCCAAACCAGCTTGCTTAAAATCGCACGCAGTTGTTTGAATGCCAATAATTACACCTCTGCTTTTCCTGCTATGAGAAGCCTGTGAAAAACCTCAGCTGGCTTCCTGCTCCAAGCAACACTGGGTCTGCATAACTCTGCACTGCTGCACTGTGATGTAATAAGACCATGTGAATTACACACAGTTTGCAGTTTAAAAAGAAGTCTCACACATGCATCTGTCTGATCTCTCAGGCTGTAAAACTGTCCCTGTTTTATTGCTTACTATTTATTAACCTAAGTTACAGTATCAGCAACCATCCTGGAAAACATTTTAAAAGAACAACAAAATAGCAGCAAGTGGACTATAAACCTCGTCAGCAGGCATCTGTGACAGAGCCTGAGGTCATCGTAACCGGAGAAGTTTAGGCACTGTCAAAGAGGAAGGGCTACATATTTCCTCCCCCCATTCATTCACTTTTCGCTGTGGTTTTACAGCTGTGAGGTCTCTTAAGGTGCTTCCAGTCTGCCTCGCTCTCACAGCGCTGAACGCTGCTGAAGAACTTCTTGATGAGAGCCTTGGCCTCTGCTTTCACTGTGGACCCAGAGGCTGGAGTTAAAGAGGACCAAGCACACAAAGCAAACTGCAAGTTAGAAATTTCCCATGCATCCTTTACCTTGGCCTTTCCCCCTGCTCCTTCCCTCTGTAAGCAGGTGAGACAAGTAGCGAGCGAAAGACTTAAACAGCTCCTGCGAAATAAAGAAAGAATTTTAATCATTCTGCTTTTAATCGCAACCCTACTTTTCTACAAACACAGCACTCACTCACCTTTGTGGCAAACTTTCCCTGAGTGTAAAAAGGGTCCAGGTAGCGGACCACGATATCAGCTGCTTCCTTAAGTGTTACAGGCTTGGGCGAGTCAGTGACCGGGTGCAGGGCTCTCTCCTGCACGTTGGGGTTGAAGGTTACTCTCCTGCTGCTCCCATTCGCAGGCCGGCTGCGCTTCGCCGGAGGGGGAGACTCCGCCATGGTTCTCATGTCATCTGTCACCTGGACACACATGTCATGAGTGTTCACAAGCATAAAGTCAAACTCAGGACTCCAGAACTGAAATCTATGGTTTGGCCTGCCAAAGACTCCAATCTGGATATCTTTGGAAAATGTATAGGATGGTATAAATTTTAGCTTTTTAACTGTATTTTCATATGTTTAATGGCTTTCCCCCCCATGCTCTAAGAGATATCTCTAAGTAAGAGATAAACCATTAAATAACAGAGTATTACCGTTCCTTCACAACATACTAGAGAAATTTATGATTTTTACAGATGGTTCACAGTACAGATATATTTAAATATATCAGGGATTAAATGTGTGGCTAAACATCTTTAAACTAGTTTCACTGGGCCGCCCACTTAAGATCAAAGGGATCTGTACGTGGCCCATCATGTAAAATGAGTTTGACATCCCTTCTTTACAACATGGACTTTAATGAGGAGTTTTCTATTAAAACTAACATCTATCCCCATCATGCTGATGCTCAAAGTCTGTTATAGAAAAGAGAAATTATGCTGAACAAAAATGAGACTTTGGATTTAGATTGTGTGGATTGTGGAAAGAGGCTAAATGTGTTTTTCGTCTGAAGCTATGCAGGAAATTATAAGGAGTGACACATTTCGACCCGCTCTTGCATACTTCAGGTGCTTTGTCGAACACGCTATTTGGTATTTCGTAAAAGTTGCTAAAGCTCCACTGATTGAATAACTGCCAAGCTCAAAACCTCTGGCATTAACATCAGCACAGAAACTGTGCGCCAGGAGCTTCATGTCATGAGTTTCCATGCACGAGCAGTTGCTGAATGTGTAGGTGGCCCAGTTCTTTTGTCCATACAGTGAATGCTAAAATTGTATGCCAACTGACTTCCTGTGGAAAAACCCCAATCTGAGTGTAAGATTATCATGCTCAAACTCTAATCTCTTAAAACTTTACTTTGTCTTATTTTGTCTTTATACATTTGTCCAAAAGTCTTATTTTTGGACAAACTTATAAAGCCTTTGGAGCACTTCATCTAGATTGGAGCTTCAAACCGCTGAGCGGAAAGACTTGTTTTAACAAGGACTTTTGTGGGTGTACAGACACCTACCCCGGGAATTTCACTTGCGTTAACCTCTTCTTCACTTGGTTTAAGTTCTTCTTCGTCTTTGTTTTGTCTGTGGGAGAACAGGGGGAAGAAAAAGCAGTTAAAAGTCAATAAAAGGCTTTTTTCCGCTATTTCTGATCAAATTAAGAATCAAATACTCTGTGATGGACGTCAGGTCCTGCTCAGATGTCTCTTGAACTGGTTCTGCAATATCAGCTCCGTCCTCCTCGTCATCATCAGGTATAACAATTATCTCAGATTTGCTTTCTATGAGGATCACATCCTCAGTCTCTGACTGTGCAGCACTGCTCTCTCCTTCCGATGCAGCAGGTGAGTGTGGTTCCTGGTTGATGTATTCCTGGGAGATTGAAGCTGGAGCGGGAGATAAAGGGGCTTCGGGCTCCCTCGGCATCTCCTCCTCATCCTGGCTTTTCTCTGGAGTACGTTTCTTCACGAAAAAGAAATGAGAAATGTTGTGGGAACTCTTTGCTGCTTCCGCCAGCTTCTGCTGCTTCTTGCTCATGGCTCTGCCTCCTTTAGTCGGGCTGCTCAGGGAGGTCGTGACGGCATTTGCTTTGGCTTTGATGGGCGATGATGCATCTGTGTTGGCTTCTTTTCCCTGCATAATGGTTTCTCCTGAGCAGCCATTGAAAAATCCGCCGCTTGTCCTACCTTTGTTAGCCCCCGTTTCCAACATGGAGGGGTTTATTAAATCCTTAGCAGTTATGAAGGGGTTAGAAGAGCCCCGTTGGCCTGCTCCTACCCTCTTACGCTTCAGCTGGGGGGGAAAGAATACATGTTTTCCTCTGAATACTCTGCAGCCACAAAAACCTCCAGTTTTCCTTTTAAAATAATAAAAAAAAAATCTGGGAAAGTAGAAAAGCAATATTACCGAGTACACCTCAGATGCCAGCGTGAACCCCTGCGGCTCATCAGAAACCGAGGATGAAGAGGAGGATCCAGCCTCTTTGAGTTCTGTTTCTCTGGAATCGCTGCCGCTGCTGCTCCTAGCACCTTCTCCTTTATCTCGACCTGCTGAAGCAGGTGCCGCTTTCTTCATCTCTGTTACCTTGACAGAATAATAGAGCTAAGCATAAACATTTCCCTCTATATGGCAATGAGACATTAACAAAAAGCCTGCACTTACCTTCTTTAGCACCACAGCTTTGTACAAGTTAGAGGACTTGCTGTTTCTGAAGACCTCGTGTTCAATATCCACCGCCAAGGACAGACTGTCAGAGCTGAGAGACAAATGCGGACACTTTGAGAAAAGTTAGTTATATGTGTGTGTTTTTTTGCAGTATTTTTATGTTTGAGAAAAAATGTTTTTAAAAAAAAAAAAATCTGAATGAATCTAGATGAGTACTTGAGTGCATCTTCTGCCCCCTGCTGGCCTTGAAGTGCCTCCTGCAGGAGGTGCAGGCAGTGCTCTCTGGCCTGAAATACAATATGAATCTTATTAACGCCTCGGAAAGCGCTCACTTTCTACTTTTACTGTACAAAATGTCAAACACCAACGAGCCACAGCCTTTTAAGCTGCTGCGTTTTGGTTTTTTTACGCTGCTTTTCTCATCACATGACCTGAGTCGCTGAAGGACGTGTTCATAAATGCAGCAGATATGAGGAATGTGTGCGTAGTGTTCAAGTTTTGTCTTGTACCTTTACGCTGAGCTTGGGAATTCTCTGGCTGCTGGCCTCTCTAAGCGGGCAGTCGATATCTACGCAGCAGAATAACACCGGTTACAAAACAGGACAGAGAGAGTTATTCACAATCATTTTTACTGTTCATGTCACACATTACCTGGAGGAACAAACTCTTCCCTCTGACTGCTGTCGTTACCCTAAATAAACACGAGCACAGGCAGAAGGGAATCCTTCAGTATTCACACGTGTATTAAAGCCAGAACATAGAAGACAGCAGTGAGCATTTATTATATACAGCTTTGGGACCACGACGCAATTTTTTTGTTGTTTTGCCTCTGTACACATCACAGTGGATTTTAAAATGTGCAGACTTTCTCATTTAATTCAAGGGGTTATCAAATAATTCTGCATTAACTGTTTATTAAAATGAACTGGAGAAACTAATAAAGATTGTTTTTAATACTTGGATGAAGCGTAGACTGCCGTTTCCCCCTTGAGCTGCTTGGCCTGGACTTCATCCACCTTCAGTTGCTTCTTGTTTGTGAGTCTCTTTGCATTTAGCTTTGTATTTAATAACTTGAAAGCATGCTCTGTTGGTTAGAGATCAGCTGACTGGCTTGGCAATTGAAGAATATTCCATTTCTTCTCCTTCAGAAACTCTTGAGTTGCTTTGTGTCATTATTCATTTGCGCTGTGAAGCTCTGATCAGTTTTGCAGCATTTTTCTAATCTGAGCAGAGAGTATAGGCCTGTGCACATCCATCAGCAGTCACCATCATCAATAAAAGCTAGAGATCTATATCTGCTGGCAGCCACACATGCCCATCTATATCACTGCCTCCGCCATGTTTGACAGGTGATGTGGTATGCTTCTAATCACGAGCCGTTTCTCTCCATCTCCAGATTTCTCTCTGCGCTGAACTGTTTTCAGGCTCTGGATATTTTGTGATCTAGCCTTTCTGTTTCCATTCATGGAGCCATCTCCATTTTAGACCTTGTTAATGATGACTGTTAAGGACTTTTTTTTTTTTTAGACATTTTAAGGATGTTTTTCATAACCATAGAAATAATTCTGTCATCATCCACGTTTTTCAGGCGTTTTGATGTTGCTGAGCTGGTCAGTGCATTCAGGCCACTCTCTCTCTCTCTGATAGTTACTTTGTTTTTTCAGTCTAATGATGCCTCCCTCACTTGCTCCAGCGTGTCTTTGGAGCTCACATTCACAGTTCCCGTGAACACTTGGAATCCACCTCTGATATTTTTTCTGCTTAACATTTCATGAAAATAACACAAAGACAGCTCTCTGATAACGGGGGACTGTGTGTACAAATGTCTGTAGCTTCCAAACAGTTAATGCGACAGTTTTGTAAAAACTTTCAGAGTTAAAGCTGAAAGTTGGCACTTCGATTGCATCATGATGGCTTGATTTAATATCCACCACAATTAACAACATTTTGTCATCGTCCAAAAACCCTATGCATCTGTAGTTGAAGTGCAGAATGTCTCTTTAATGTGTAAAGAAAGAAAGATAAAAGAACCATAGTTTTAAGCTAGCAACATTTAAATGAAGCTCTGAGCAACGAAGCCCTGAGGCATCAATAACCTCCATAACTCTCCACACACTATAATGACTTGTTTGTTCTTCCTGCTCAGTTTCTACTTTTTTTTTAATAATCATGGAATTCCTGCTTTTTATGCTGTTATAAACAGTTTGGCCAACCTCCACTTGGACCTGATGAGGAATACTTTAGTTCGAATGTTGTAAAAAATTCCACTGAACATGTGGGAGCCATTTAGCAAAAGCAGCATTTACAGGGCCTGAGCAGCTCCAGATGGCATACAGATGTGCAGAGGCACAACACAAACACTCTGGAGATGCTGTCCTTACATTTAGAAATAATGTATACATTTTGCCCAAAGAGGATGAGCTTATTTTCTCTATTTCTTTTTTTTTGGGGTAATCACCTTCCGCATGCTCATCTGCTTCTTGAAAAGCTCAGAAAACTCCTTCTTCCTCTTAAAAGGATCATCTTCACTATAGCCTTCCCCTTCATCATACCTGCGAAGCAAAACATCGGTGTTAACCTACAGGATCAACCATCAAGTCATAAATGCAAGCGGGACATTTCACACAACATCACTAAAAATCGTCCTGCCTTTCAAAGCCGTATCCCTTCTTTCCTCCTCCATAAGTGTCCGGCTGGAACCCGAACGCTCCCTTGGGCTCGCTGCTCTGAGCCGCACCGATCTTGGTGCTGAGCGTGGCCGCTCTCTCCAGCTGCGCTCGCACCAACTTGGGGTTA